GAAAGTTGACTTTGTTGTACTTGCTCCATCAAACTTCGTCTGAGGTGGAATGTAAGGACGGTTTTCGTGGAAGTCCCCGTACCGTTCTCGTTTGACGGGACCGTAGTTCTTAAAGAACTCCCCAAAACTGGTCCTACCGTCGAATTTAACATCGGGTACCCTGATTGTTGAATGTGGCACAGTTGCTTTGTGTGTTAGATTGGCAGTGATGTCTATAGGCTGGAAATCCCTCTGGAAAAGGAAGAACAGTACTAACTTTATAGTTGGTGCTTTCTACAAAAGCCAAGTCTATTGATAAGAATCAAAAAGACACTTTTAACTTTTAAACAACAGGCTTATCTTTCTAACCTTATTTGAAGTTTCTGTTTCAAATTTGACAGAAGGTGGGTTATAATCCTCTAAATCGTGTCGGATTGGTTTAGGGGCGGGGTTTTGTAGTATGTTGTGTCCTCTATATATAGTACGTTGTTCTGTCTGAAAGCTTCTCCTGAAATTAATTAACATAATTCTTCTAAACAGATTTAGATTAATCGACTGCGTAATAATTGAACATGAATACTTGATTATTAATGACTTCCTTGAAGTGAAGTCCACTAAAGGTTTTTTGAAAAGATTTTTTTTTTAAAATACAAATATTTAGCCCTCGTATATAGTCAATATAGGAATGAAAACCTTCCCGTAATAAAGAACATTACGACCTACATGTACGGATCAGTGTCTTTTGCAGTAACTACATTTTTAACATCTTTATTTTAAATTAATGACACTTATTCTTAATTAAATTAGTTTCAATTTTACGTGATGTAAACGTAAGTGATTTCGTTCTCTCCTTTAAAATTGAGATCCTTATTTTATAAATCAAAGTTATGTTTGGTTCTTAAAATACGCGTATTATTTACTTGTTGTCGAATCGTAGGTCAATAGTCTCTGGTGCCGGTTCAGCTAGCCTGGCAGGCCTAGCGCCAGCATACTCAGGAAAGTCACGCCTATTCTGTGTCTCTGTCTCAAATTTGCCCAGTTTTTTAGAGGCGTGTAGGGTGGGTTTTCTGACGATACGCTCAGCACGGTGGTCCCCCTGTATATTCTTGTATGTATCTTTATTTGTCGTGGTCATCAGCATATCACCTGACAAAAAAAAAAAAAAAAAAAAAAAAACATTTTCACTTAGTAAAAACTTTTAGAGAAAAATAAAAATTACAGTGCTAATACAATAGATATTAAATACCGCTAAAATATAATTAATTATAATAAAGAGATACCATACCTTCCATTGTTATGTTTGCGTCGGCTAGCCTCACAGCTTCTGGTCTCCTGATAAATTCCCCTCTAAATTGCTGCATTGTTTCACTAGGGGGTAACTTGTTTTTCTCCGGAAATAAAATGGACCCTGAAGACATTTCAATACTTTGATTATTTTTCTTGTGACGAATTTTTACCTACCCCGGTATTTGATTTGTAATCTATATACATGTAGCCTTTTGGTGCTCTCTTTTTTATAATGTCCATGTTAAACATAAAATAAATATATAAGATAAAATAAATATATTACATGCTCAGCAAAGCTCTCAACCATAGCCTCTCTCTCTCTCTCTCTCAACATACCTGTAAAACTAGGAAGCTCCTGGAAATGCATGGTCGGTTGCGCTATCCACTGCTTGAAATGATCCTTGTTAGTTGTGTGTGCGTCAAACTTGGCGTCTGGAATCTGGACCGTCCCCCGGGGCTCCATTCGCCGATATTCAGGCTGCGCTTGTTTGGGGGTAAACTCCTGAGCATAGGAAGTGGTCTTTTCGATTGGGACATTTACGGCCTCGTAGTTCTCTTCCTATAATTTAAATTTTCTTTTCACAAAAGCATTGATTTTTATTCTTTAATTGAATGCCCCAAAGCAATTGTATGTACAAACCTAAATGACCCTCATCCTTGTTTCATATTAAATACTTAGTATTTCATAACCAATGGCGCTTAGCAACACTTTGATCAATAAATGTGTTGTGGGTCGAGCGAATTCATTTTTTTTTAATTTGTTCGTTGCCAATACTTATCTATTATAGATTTCTAAAAATCAGTATACGACGATTGAAATGTCAGAAATTGAATCTTAGTGTGTATTTATAAATACGTTTTAATCGATATTACTTAAACCACTGATGGAAATTTCGTTCTTATTTATTAATAATGAGAGAACAAAGTTCTTCCGCCTTAGGTGTTAAATGCAGAGAGTGTTTTGTTTTGTTTTTGTCTCTGTATTTGTTTGTTTTGTTTTTGTTCTGTTTTTTTTTTTGTTTGTTTGTTTTTCATTTTATGAGAATAGCCAAATTAATTCAATAAGAATGTGGAGTGTTACCAATAAATTACCGGAATAATGGGTTTTGTCCTTGCCACAGCCCCGTGTGACTTGAATTCGTCCCTCTGGTTTGTAGAGAACATCATAGGAGCCGAGTGACGGTCTCGTACCGTCGGGGAAGGAGGGGGGCGTTTACTGGAGCGTGGGCGGGGGTGCTCCACAGCCTTAAAGGTCCGGGCGTAGTCTGACTCCGGAAATGGACACGACTTCCGGGGGATCGGAACATTCTGTTTCCTTCGTTTGTGTTTTCTGATGAAAATAATGACATTAGTGATTGCATTGGTTGATACAAAAAAGTCAATAAATAAACAAGGGGAAAACCAGAGACATATAAACAAATTGGTTTTATATGTCACTGGAAAAAACTGATAAAATATTTTTATTTAAAAAAAAGGCGAAAGGTTAAGATCAGCCTGAAAAATAACTTGAAAGATTACGTATTGATTTCTTGTCATTTTGTCTTTGGAGTGTAAAAAGTTAAACTTAAATGTTATCTCCAAAGCATTTTACCAACCATGTGGTTTTTAATTACGTTAAACCTATTCCACACTGGGACCCTTTATTTATGCGTCTGAATCCGCTTTAGAAAATCTAAGTAGGTAGAATTACATTGGCACAATAGTAGAATTAGACTGAACTCCCAAATATTGTCTGCAAATGTTGCCCCCCCCCCTTTTTTTCCAATGAAAAATATGATATTTAGAAGTTGGTGAAATTAGACAGCGAATATATTAATGATTTCTTGCTGTTTCTATTATTTGATACCATCAGCTTTTGTATAATATCTACGCTTGCTGAGAAATGTTAATATCCTACCTGATGTGCCAAAAAGTCAGTAACACTGAAATTTATGCTTAAAACATAAATTAAACAATTTCCTTATCATCTTTGATGGTTCAATAATACTTAAAATATCCATTTGAGGCATATTGCTTCCTAAATCTTACAACAAAAATAAATCAATCTCTATAACGCTACATTGATGTTTTAAAATACATAGAAACAGTGGTGATTTGTGAGCTGTGTATGACTGTATGTAAATATTGGTGGAATTCAAGTAACAGTCAAGTGTGGAGATAAATGGTGAATGGTGATTCCATTTAACTTTACAAATATTACAGACCAATAAAACACAATGAAAATACATGTAACACAAACACATTGTTCAGGTAAAAACACTTTAACTTGACATGAACCATGCAACGATGTTACATTTAAAATTCTACAAATGAACTTCATATAATCACAAGTAGAGGAGATAAAGGGTGTGGAATGAGACTTTTTAAAAGGAATCTGAAACTGTTAAATAAGAAGTTGGACTACATCAGTGAACATAGATCTATTACGAGGGGTTACTGATAGAATGGGACACTTGTACTGATGATCTCACCTTATAACATCACAATTGGGCCTAGAATACAATGTAAATTATATGTTTAGATATGCTTCACTTAAAAAAAGTTAGATAAAGTAAGATTTAGGTCATCTATTCATGTAATTAGTTTCATTTACTACAGTGGATATTTTAGCATAATATGATTTATTAAAATTTAGATCAGATATCTCAATACATTCAGTTTATCAGATATAATACCCATACATGTAAGTATAAACCAGGTGCTTGCGGACATGATTGTCCCTACCCCTGTTCAATATTTTTTAAAAATCGTGGGGGGGGGGTTCAATCCTAGTATCTCTGACAACTTAATCTATATGTTTCTATTTGAAAATTACATAAAGATATCAATCATATGCAATTTCTATTCACAGTCGCTTCGCGTATATAAAGGGGGGGGGGTGTTAGAGACAATGCTGTCCACAAGCACCTGTGGTGTATACATGTAAGATCGGAATAATAGCTGAAGTTTGAATAATACACATCGAACATACAGCGATTTCTACACTGTGACATGACTTAATTATACTTATAATCAATGCAATCCACAGCAATTAAAGCAATAACAAACGCATATGTTTTTTTTTAAATAAGCAATATCCTATACATGCAATATACACCTACCCACAGTCGCACAAATCGCTGATTGATACGTTATCAGGAAACTGCTCGGTCAAGAAATCCACATCACACGAGGCCATTCTCAATATTATTCTTCCACAGATGTGGAAAAATAAATAAACTATTATAAAAAGTTGTTCACTTGTTACATTACGTGCTCGGTATTATATTTTTTTAATACCCTTTGGTTTTGCGTGACAGTTCTCAATACCGTTCATATATTTTCTTCACACAACAGGTGAGAAAACTCAGGTAAATTTCCTTAGCGACGTTGATAGCAACGGCTGTTATCGAAAGAGCCCTTGTAATAAATAATTAGGTATCAATAAGATTTTCTGTGGCAATAGAAGTTGATTGACATTTTATTTCAAAAATATTAACAACGCATCGATTTACACTTTGATATGCACAAACTCTTTTTCATGGAGCAAGTTTTATTGCTTGAAACATGTGTATTATAAATTTAATTTACGGAGGGAGGTAAACGTACTAGTAAAACCTTATATCAAATATAATAAATACTTATCTCTGAAAACAATAAAAAATCTCTATAATATTATTATTTCTAAATAAATAGAAAAACTAAAACATATTTAAAGGTCTATTTAAGTGATATTTTAAAGATATAGCTGCTTTTGTTAATGATAGAAGGGACTCAAAGTCACATGACTAAAAAATGGCGACGTTGGACATCAAATTGAAAAAAGCCAATAAGGTGTATAAAGAAGGGGTAGGTTAACACGATTTAACTTTTCCTCATGTCATTTAATAATAAAAATTCATGCCTGTTCAGTGCATGTCTGTTGTAGATGGAAGTCTGTTAAAATTTTGATGCTCAGCATGCATGGCATATATAAATGCACACACAGGACAGAACCCACTATCACTGGCATTGTACACGGGCACCTGACAAGTAAATGATGCAATTCTGGGAATCTTTTTTTAAACATGATAACTTGTCAAAGATATTTATGGATGGGCTAGCATTCATATACCATTCCTAGAGCTCAGTAAACAGGTCCAGTACAATCACTAGATTTAGCTACGTAGCTTGATTTACCTACTTAGCTTTATTTACCTACCTGAGGTAGCTTTATTTAGCTACCAAATCAATTTATTTCTATAAAAAAGCATTTTTCTCAGGGTGTGCAGAAAATCTTATTTTAATGCAGTGATCATTTTCAACTTTGAACTCATCTGAAAACAATTCAACAAAAAATCACTCTTGAAGAAATATCTTTTTCTGCACAATTGCAATCAAAATTCTGAAAGTTTTGGGGCTATGTAATGACAGTTAGAACAGTTACTCCTTGAATGAAATGACAAAGAAGTCCAGTTCCGGTTAACATGATAATACGTACGTCCGTAATTGTATTCAGCACAATGTGAAGTAATCATACTCAGTCATGCCTCACTGCACGCAATAGAGAGGACAGTTAGCCAAACAATGGAATTACATGTTTTGCACTAAATTGTCCAAACGCAGCAATGTATAAACTATCAATGCTAATTTGGATTGTTTTTTTCAAAACCTCCCTAGTATAAATATTAATATATAGTCATTTAATTGCAATTTGTTGTCTCTTTTTAATAAAAAGAAAAATTTTGAAAAGTTGCATTGAAATAGCTAATAAAGCTACCAGAGGTAGGTAAATAAAGCTACGAAGGTAATTCTACCTACGTATCTAAATCTAGTGATTGTACTGGACCTGGTAAAGGGAATGAACAAACTCAACTTAACAAACAGGGGTCTCCACTTTCAATGTTAATTGGCATTACCAGTGGAATATTAAATAATTTATACAAGAAGCAGATAAGTGAGAGAATGTCATAGATCCCTCCTCTATACAAACTGATACTGCTTCATTTGTCACGATTGTTTAAATGTTTCTACACTAGCATGTTTAATTCTTTTCAGGAGCTTGTGAAGGGTGCAATATGCATAGATGCTGGAAGAAGTGAAGTAGCTCATCAAGGCATCACCTTGATGATGGAAGGTTCAGTGAATCTGCAACTCAGTGCAAAGAGTGTTGGTCTGTTTGAGGCATTCTACAGTTCATTGAAGGTTAGAATCTGTATAAGTACAAGTAGTGATGGGCAAATTGTTGCTGACAATCGATTGATTGCTATTGAACTGCTATTGATTGATTACAAAATAATTTAGCGGACTGACTGAAAAAATAATAATAATGTAATACTTAAATTTTATTACCAAATCAAATTTTAGTGCATTGAAGAAGTGGTGAATGTATAAAATATCAGAGGTATCCATACCATGTTGATATTTTTGCCACAATGATTGAATATATATATATGGTCAAAATAATAACAGAAAACAGGCAGTATTTAAGGTTTTAATTTTATAGTATTTTTAGTATAGACGATCTGACTGTAAATATAATTATATAATCAGGAATACATAACTACTTTCAAAACTTGTACTACTTAAAAATAAATTCTTGTAATTGCAAGGTAGGACAAACAACAGTCTTACTCCGATTCGATATATTTAATGAGATTAAAAAATATATAAATTCCCATTCAATATATTATAGAGATATTTTTTATGAAGTAAAGACTGAAATATTATTTTCCATGTTATTGAAAGAAAAATTAATAAACATTTTTGAATATTATATATAACTATAATTGATATTTTATGTAAAAGTCTGAACTGAAATCTGAATAAGTATAACTTTTTAAGATTAATTCATCTAAGTTAAAAATTTGGATTATAGTTGAGTAATTATTATGCCCAGCTGATTATTTTTCAAAAAAAAAAAAAATTTTTTTCATGATTTCCCATCACTTAATTAGTACAATTCTGTTACTTCACCTTGATCTTATCACAGACAACTCTCGCAGAAACTGGTTTGAACAATTACTGAGTAGGTCAAAATGCTTTATTAAACACATATACTAAGGTTAAATATTTTAGCTTTGTAACATTTCATTAATGATAGCTTGTTTACATTTGTTTACAGCCTATGCAGTTGATTAATTATTCCTTGGACATTGCAAAGCCAGGAAAATTGCCCAGTGGCAGAACTGAGATCCCTTTTGAAATTCCATTAAAACCAAAAGGAAATAAAGAACTATATGAAACTTACCATGGAGTGTTTGTCAATATACAGGTAAGTCAATAAACAGGTACAGGAAAGAAATTTCATTTGTACGCAGTTGGAGAGCATCCATAATTCCCCTCTTTCATACATGATTGAATGTGGAATCATTTTAATTAGTGGCGGTCTATGTCTGTATAGGTTAGCAAAATTGTTGGTTCGTGGGGACATACTTTTGTGGGTAACTGTATATTTAGAAGATGTAATGGAAAGATATATAGAAAAAAATTGTTCAGTGGGGATGTAAATTCCTGGATAATGGTAACCCACAAAATCCAGAATCATTGGTCCCAACGATCAAAGATGTTTCTACAGTATTTTGCAGCATTGCATATATATATCCACGTCACCAGTTTTACTATCAGTTACATGTATATGATTATTAGCTAGAAAACTAAAGTTCTGTTCATCAATTATCACTATTACTAACTTAGGGACAATATTATGAAAAATAATTGATGTTGTTTCAAAATTTCAGTATTCATTAAAAGCAGAGATGAAAAGACCACTTCTTGCCAAAGATTTACAGAAAACCTGCGAATTTATTGTTGAATACTCTGAGAAAATCAAAAAGGTTGGTATAGAAGTAGTCCTCGCAATACTGTAAAACATAAAGGTTGGTATAGAAGTAGTCCTCACAATACTGTAACAGGCCATATACGTATTAAATATACAGTCAATTCATCTGGGTATTTCTACCAGCATTGTTAAATCATTGAAAATCCTATCACTTCATCTGTTAAAAATGAGTGACTTTACTGCCTTGAATTTAATGTTGCCACTTCAGTACTTTTATGCGCTAGTCTTTCAATGGGCCTGCCATAGTTCCTCTCCATTTCTACTCCTGTGTCCAGTTTGTCAAACTGTCTGTCTTTTTTAACACCATAAAACCTTTACATTTGATAAATCTTAGGGGGAGGAAGTATCACAACTGGAACAAGATTGTTACAATTTATGGACATATTTTGATATTTATTTGCTGTAAATAGTCAAAATTATGTTGAAGTTATATGTCATGGAGAATAAAACCTTGATTCATAAATGTCCATTGATGCATCACATAAAGGAAGAAAATTGTGACCAGAAATTAGGTTGACCATAGTTTGGAATTGTACATATGTATATGGTTGTTCAATGTCAGGTTTTGTTTAGATGAAATCTTTATACTAAGTGCATCATTAAAGGGTAATGGAAATGGGTAGCAATTCTGTTATATGTTTTAGAACTCAGCGAAATAAAACCAACAAAAAAAACTGCATCGAAATCGATGCAAGTTTAACGGAGTTATTTGGGGAAAACCCAAATTCACACCTGAGCGACTTTGTGAATCGCGCGGTTTTGGTCCTTGGCACCCACAATGCACTAGTGTGACGTCACTACATGGACCGACCATTTTGAAAACAAAGGAGAGAGTGAATTTTCGAGGACGTTTTTAGAGCTTTATTTATATTTCTAGTGACTTTTGTGAACTTTTGTTGTACAGCGATCGTAGTATGTAGTGTGTAGTTTGTTTAAAATTAGTTTTTAGAATTTTTTCCATTGGATTTTTGTGAAATTTTCGTGTGAACTGAGGATGTCGGAGACCCCCGTCCCCAGAGCAGATTCCAGAGGAAGACGATGTGTCGCGGGCGGCTGCAGCAACACAAAGATAGAGGGAATTAGCCTACACTACTTTCCCTTTGACAGACCTGCCGTTTTGCGAAGATGGATACAGTTTGTGCAACAGTACAGACGAGATTGGAAGGGTCCCTCGAAGACGTCCACGTTGTGCTCCGTTCACTTCACTGAGGATGCGTACCCTGCCAAGTACAAGATTATGGAGTCGATGGGAGTGACAGTATCCAGAAAGGACCTCAATAAGGATGCCATTCCTACACTGCAGACGAAAGTGGACCCTTGCACCACACCGGCATTGGCACTTGGGAAACGGAAAGCCCATCCTACGACTCCTCTTACTAGCACCCCGAAGAAGCCTAGGAGGGCTTATCTCAGGAGGGAATCCAAAAGAGTAAGTTAATTCAATCATTTATTTATCTATTATTAAAATATTTTTATTTACATATAAATATAAGTGCTGTAATCATGGTAATCTTCATCATCTCAATACTTGTGCAGCTATTTTGTACATGATGATAGACTCTTTATTTCCAAATCAAGGTCCTGTCAGGCATCACAATATCAAATAGCACAGTCAAATTATGTGTACATTCAAAATTCTATGCATCTGATGTATTTGTTTAACCAGATAAACACATACTTCAGGGGTGCGCAATTACAAATATAAGATACTAGCCCGTCGGGGTAGTGGAAGTAACAAAGTTACTAGCCTTAGGTTGCCACTTGCCAGTCACTATCCCATTACCTACCAAAAACAATCCATGTACATGTATAAGTATAACATAAAGGTTAAAAAACTACTTAAGTTGAAATATATGAAACAAATAATGGCTAACCGTTTGCGCTTTGTAATTGTCAGGTACTTCCCCCTATTTATATTGAATATCATTGTAACTGAGACGACTTGCGATAGCAACACACAATGCATAGGTTAAACGAATTAAAGATTATGATTTTACAAAAAAGTTCATTCGAACTTCAATTCGGTGGAGGTAAATATATGTTTACTTTTCTTTTAGATTTAATAGCCTAATGGGCTAACACAGAGTATAGATTTTTGATAGCTTGACCTCTAAATTTGGTAGTCTCGGGTGTCAGGCGATGGTAATTGCACACTACGGAATGCTTGCTTCCCTAGAAAGCGCCAAATTGACCACTTCAATTGACAAAAATGCCGCTTTGAAATTAAAATTTGTTGTAAGGTCCTCAAAGATTCTGTTCATAAACCTCAGCCCCATGTCTGACCCTTTTCATTGAAATAAAGGGATGCATTGCTTGCTTCATTATAATATCACCTATGAACAATATTATTTTAGCAGTTTATCACTCCTTTTTTTTTAAAGTAAATTTATGACCAAAACATTTATTTTAAAGGATTTGTGAATATCGGTTTTAAAATTGAATTGTAGATAGTATTAGAGTTTGAGCAGGCAAGGAGAGAGTCCAAGTCCGACACCCTAACTGAAGCTGGCCGTGACAGATGTAATCCCCAGGGGGTTGAAGGCACACAGACAGAGCAGCAGAGGTCTGACGATACATGGCAGCAGGGGTCGGGTGATGCACCAGAGCAGCAGAGATCTGACGATATACCAAAGCAGCCGGGGTCTGACAATACACCAGAGCAGCAGAGATCCATTAACACACCAACCATTGAATTAGATGAAGAGGTAAAATTTGTACACAACCTTATTTGCTTAAAATATTTTCATTGTTGTGAAGCTGACAGCAAATCGAATTTAATTTTATGAAGCTTTTAGGAGAATTAACCCATTCCCCGCGATCTACGTCTGTAGTCGTATTCCGCTCACATCGCGAACTACCACTACAGTAGTAGTTTACGTACCTGCGTCATACTTGGTCTTTAAATGCCATTGAAAAGCCCGGATGTTTAAAACATTTTACAGACTAAGGAAAAGCGGAAATAGACCTTGATCATGCGCACATAAAAGTGAAACTAGATACTTATTTATGAGGGGAAAACCTGGTTGAAACAAAGAAAACTGATGCTTTAGACACGAACGAAATTTCAAAATGGCGGAGCGAGGTGAAGATTTGAGCGATGGTAGCGATATTGAGGCAGAATACGATGTAGATGAAGAGGATATGGATGTTTTAGCTGGAAATATTGATCGTGAAGTTAACCAGGGAGACGTTGATGACTGGATTTTGAATATTTTCGCCGAGGATAGTGACGAAGATGAAGAATTTCTCGGCTTTCAGCATCAGTGGGTGAAGGAAAATTTCCAACCCCGGATGCAGAATCGGTACAAAAACGTTGGTGGGGCCACTGTAGAACACCCTGAAGAGGCATCGGCAGGTCAATATTTTGAACTATTTTGGACAAATGAACTCATTGACAAATTAGTAAATGAAACGAACATTTATGCTCGCCAGGAACGTGAAAAAAACCCTCCCCCACCGTATGCAGCAAAATGGACTCCAGTGGAATCAAATGAAATGAGGGCATTTCTCGGACTGTGTTTTGCAATGGGAATACTGCGTCTCCCAGAAAAAACAGATTATTGGCGACAGAATAAATGGTTATTCTGCACATCATTCAACAGAATCATGTCAAGGGATAGATTCCATCAAATATGGAGGTATTTACATATCCAAAACAATGATGAACAACCACAGATTCCAGACAAACTTTGGAAAGTTCGATGGTTCTTGGAATTCTTGGACAGGAAATTTGGTGAAATTTACATTCCACATGGAAATGTAACCATTGATGAATCAATGATAAAGTTCAAAGGAAGATTATCCTTTCGCCAGTACCTACCTGCTAAGCCTATAAAATGGGGACTGAAAGTTTGGGCAATGGCGGAAAGCGACACTGGTTATTTGAGCAAGTTCCAGGTGTATACGGGTAAGGAGGGAAATCAGGAAAAGGGACTGTCATACAGAGTGGTGATGGACTTGTGCAGAAATTACTTTGGATCAAACTTGAATGTATATATGGATAATTTCTACACGGGCACCGACCTACTGAATGACCTTTACCTCCGAGGGATCATGGCATGTGGGACTGTGCGTGCAAACCGTAAGGGACTTCCAAAGGATCTAATCCCATCTAAAGTCAACTTGAGGAAGCATGAGTTCAAAGTAGCTCAAAAAGACAACCTGACGTACTGCATTTGGTTGGACACGAAACCCGTAAGTGTCTTGTCAAACTTTCATGACCCTAGCCATCGAGGACAAGTGACACGACGTGCTGCCGAGAACACCGTGGTGCAGGTTCCAAAACTTCTCTCGGACTACCAGAAACACATGAAGGGGGTGGATTTATGTGATCAGATGATAGGGTACTATCTCTTGAGTCACAGATCAAAGAAGTGGTGGCGGAGGCTGTTTTTCTATCTGATGATGGCATCGGCTCACAATTCCTACATAGTAGTGAAGGACACCCACCCAGAAATTGCTCGTGAGAGATGGCCAAGTTTTCAAGACTATATAGAAGACCTAGTGGAAGATCTAATAGGTGATGTGAGATCTAGAAGAGAACCACAAAAACTTGACTGTGGAGGACGCGCTACCGAGCATAACATTGTGAAAATGTTCCCCAAAAACAAAGTGTGCCGGGAATGTTCCCTGTCAGGACCACAAGGACAAAGGAAAGGTGTTACGAAATTTGGATGCCAACAATGTGATGTCCCGGTACACTTAGAGTGCAGCTCTAAGCACATCATGCGAATGATGAAAGTGTAAACATTAGTGAATGTGACTTCTTTTTTTGAGTTGAGAATTAAAATTGAGGATTTCTTTTTGCAATATTTTATTACATATTATTTTGAAGTAAGTAAATTTTTTTTTTCATTTTTGTTTTGATATAATGTTTGTAATACATTATTTTACTTAAAACTTTGTTTAAAATGTAGCAAAATGCATGTTGTATATTTTTTAAATAATTTTTAAAGAAATTCCATTCTTGATTCAAATGTCGAAAATTCTGAGATAATACCCTATGTATTGAAATATCAATAACTTTTTTATTTTTATAGATTTTTTAATGAAATAAACTGTAAATTGTTCAGAAATGTTTGATGTAACTACTGATGCAAAAAAAACATACTGCTTACATTCACTTTATGCACATAAAATGCAGTTGAATAAAAAGATGACAAAAATTTTCAAGTGCTTTTAAGAATTTATTATTATTTACATCAGATAAAACATGGGATAGCATTCTTGCTGCATATTGAAATTTATACTGCTGGATGCAGAATTTTAAGAGCTTTATAAATATGTATACTTTTATATACCTACAGGGATTAATTATCTTGTTATCAGGCAGAAAGTACAGATGGTGCTAATTAACTTAGCCATCACAGCAGCAGGCATGTTATCCCTCGTCTTACTGATAAGCTCTGCAGACTTGGCTGCAGTAGGAAATGGGTTAAAGGATACTTATCATTGGTCCTATATTACATACCTAGATTTTGGGCAGATTTGTTAATTATGAGCCACAAATAGTTCCCAGTCAGAAGTATTTATTTGACAGAAAAGAAAAAAAAATCATATGGGGAAAAAAAAGAAATGTTTTGAAAAAATTTAATGTTTCCTGCATATTCTTCATGCTGTGATGGTCATTATGTATATTAAAATTTTATGTCTGATATTTACAGAGATGTACCATTGTCGTAGAGATGGTTGCAAAAGAGACAAGGACTGTAGGGTGCCAACGCTCCTTGACTAAGCCAATGAGAAAGTCCCACTACACCCAAACCAAATGGAAGACCAGCGACAAAGGTATTTTAATTTATAAATATCAGTACAACATTATCCAGCTGAACTGGGTGATAAAATGTTGATCACAAGTTTTCGTGCAAGGGGACTCGATGTTGAATGAATAAAGATTAATATTTAAGGAATATTTGTCGAGTAAAGCTAAAGTTAAACAGTATTGTGAGAATTGAATCAGCTAAGTTCATTTCAGTTCCACCTGTTGTTTTTTTTTTAAAGAATTTGTAGTTTCAAAAAACCCAACTTATTTTTTATGCTTTAATGTAGGCTACAATGTGTTTTAAAACAATAATGTGCATATTGAAATTATTATTTTCAGTGGTGCAGGCAGGTAATCCTGTGAAGACCAGGGATGTTGGAATTGCCTGTGAACTTCTGCCAGCTCCTCCCCTAAGACGACTTGGAGAACCAGAGACACCTGTACTACATGAAGAGTGTGCTGACACAACGTTCCTCTATTGGTACGGATGACGGTTCAGATGAGGAGGACGAATCAGTTCACGACTCATTCAGTAGCATTGACTCAGAAGATTTGCTGGAAGCCGACAGAGGGTAATTATATTATAGATATTATTTCAAGTAATAATCAATAACTTGATGACATGATGTACTGAAAAAAAAAAAATGAGAACAAATCCACTTATATTTCACAAAGTTATAATTTAAGTCCCATTTTCATTTATTTATATGTAATGTAGTAGTCATGATTGAGAGTACTTTTGTGACAGCATAATTTTGACCTCTCTGCATTTTCAGGGATAGGAGAGGAATGAAGTTTATAGTGTACCATAGTCAACTCATGGATCTCTTTGCGACATGCCCAAGATGTGCCAGCCCATCCTTGGCAGACATCGTTCACTCAAAGGGAACCTTCATTTCTGTTCGTCAAGAGTGTGGATGCTGTCGTTTCAGCAGAATTTGGTCAAGCCAGCCCCTTATTGGTGCCATCCCAGCTGGGAATTTTGAACTGTCATGTGCCATTTTGTTTTCTGGGTCCTTGCCGACAAAGTCCATTCGGATGTTGCAATTTATGGACATTGCTACAATCTCAGTGAGGACCTTCATGAATCACCAACAGCATTACTTACATCCCACCATTCTTAGTGTTTGGAAGAACCACCAGAACCAGTATGTACAGCAGATTCAGGACTCTGGTCAGCCAGTTCGTTTGGGCGGAGATGGGAGGGCCGACACTCCAGGTCACTGTGCCAAGTTTGGCAGCTACACGGCCATGGATTTGGACAAAAACATCGTCATTGATGTCCAACTTGTACAGGTATTTACCATATGATACATGAAACAACTTATTCTAAAAATAACTGTTTACAGAAATGCAATAATTCTTATCTAAGTGATAAGTTTAAAAAAAAAATTATAAAAAAAAAAATCATGTTCAATAGTATTTGACCTTTTAAGGTAAACTAATGTAACTTTTTTTACTTATTAGAGCAATGAGGTCGGGGGAAGCTGTCGTATGGAGAAGGAAGGGCTGATAAGAGTTGTCCAATTCCTACAACAGAACAACATTGAAGTCTGCCAGCTCATAACAGACCGACATCTCCAGGTGGCGAAATGGGTTCGGGAGAATATGCCAGACACTACACACTATGTGGATGTTTGGCATGTTGCAAAAGGTTTGTGACATTGCTTTCTTGTTTTTACAATAAAGTTGAATGCTAAAATTTTATAAAGTAAAGGAAGACGCTAATTTATTATAAAACTCTATCGTTTGTATTAAAATTGTCTCAAAAAGGAAGGACAAGTGTCAGATTTTGTAAACTTCTATGTACATAATTGTCAGATTTTGTAAACTTCTATGTACATAATTGTCAGATTTTGTAAACTTCTATGTACATTTAAGGTCTGAAGAAGAAGCTGACAGCCCTCGGCAAGGAAAAAGACTGTGAGAGGTTGATGGAGTGGATCAAGAGCATTGTTAACCACCTGTACTGGGTCCCCACTTCCACACCAGAAGGCAGCAATGAATTGAGGTGGGAGAAATGTTCAAGTTTGACCTTTTTTTCCTATTGTTGTGTTAATGTTTTCATTTTGTTGAGTTTGTAATATTTTTGGTTTTATTTTCTGTTTGTATAAATTTGAGACATTGTGGATTATCAAACAATTTGATAAGTTCACTGTGCAATTTGTTCTAAAGTGAGTTTCTATGTTCAATAAACAATGAACAGCCAATTAGTCTTATTTATGTTTCATTTAAAGTTTATAGTTTATGTTCCTCATGTACCATATTGTATGGTTTGAGCGAAATAAACTGATTCTGATTTCATTTTAACATTTGTTTCATTGAATTGAATCAGAATTATTACCCATTAGTTTCCGGAAGTTCTGCATACTGCTGTCTATATGCATGGTACGCCGTCCTCAAAACAGAAGGGTGAAGACATACTGGGGAGAACCCATTGTGCTGTGTAATGCAGTGTCGATGGTCTTCTTCTGTCACGCATCTGATTTCAGGTATCTCCTGGCAGCATACACACTCTTCTGCATTAGGCATCGCAACACACTGCTCACAAGTGCACCTGTTGACAAATTAAAGCTATTTTTAATTCAGTATAGGAATTAAAAGTTTAATAGAAAAAATCTGTGATATTACTGTTTTCAGATGATGAATAAGTCATAACACAAGTACATCTCCCTCCCCAAGCCCCATTTACTGTGGAGTGCAGTTTTCTGTACTGAAATTTCGTTCCCAAGCAACCAACTCATAAACCAAAAATTGTATTTGTTAGAAACTAAATGCAGAATATTTCTAGTTACTTCATGCTATTTTCAAAACGGCATAAAAATATGGTTGATACTGGTTTTGTAATGTAACTAAGGAAACCACAGTATAGGCACAGTGTATTCAAACAATATTATACATAGGTCCAATATTAAAAAGCCTAAAAATAATAACGAAACATTTAGCTAAAATTTAGCCAACATATTTTATAGGAGGGTTATCATGATCCTATAGTGAATGTGATTTTTTGGTAAAAGATTTGCCAGTAATCAAACAAGAAGGTAAAAGTACGATGCCTTGAAGGCAATCACCTTTCCGCAGAAAATGTTCATAGTTCAGCCATACCCTAAGTAAATTACGCAATTTATGTTGCTTTATATGGTTATTAAGTCTAAATATTGGACTACATATGTCACATTAAGCAATCTAATTGGAAAAAATGCCATTTTCTAACCAGTCAGTACTCCCCAAGCGCTCGTCCTCGCTGGGCTGTGTGTTGTTTTCATCTACCAATTCCTCGTCAGAATCGGCTTCTGGCTCAAACTGGTAAGGTCTTGTACCAAGTTCGACACCCAATCCATCTGGTTCATCAAAAACTGAAGATCCATCTGACATATCAAGGCTGATATCGTCGTTGTTGTCGGAACTAATCTCGTTGTAATCCATACTAATCCGCCTAATCTGTCCATGTAGTGACGTCACGGCGATATAGCCTCGTTTTCGATCGATTCTATTTTTGCTTGATTGGATTTTCATAACAGGTAAAAATAGACGCTTTCAACGGGCAATAACTCCGTTAAACTTGCATCGATTTCGATGCGGTTTTTTTTGTTGGTTTTATTTCGCCAAACTCTAAAACATATAAAAGAATTGCTACCCATTTCCATTACCCTTTAAACCTTGTTTGATTGCCATGTATTAACTGTATGTTAAATAAGTAAATTTTTTCCTTACATTATATTGCACCAATACAGTTTTATATTGATGAACAGGAAGAGCAGGATAAAGCCAAGTCTACACCAAAACCTGTACAGTTTACAATCTCACCTGAGACCCTGACAAATGTTAAAGAAGTAAGGTTGCTGGCATGTGCTAGTTTTTTTGTTAATTATCTCTTATGGATTTATCTGATAACAATACATTTTCTTTACAGTCACTAGCACTGTAAAATCTGTAGGAGTTGAATTTTAAATTTGAAAATGTAGAAAATGAAATGAATGTATGTATTAATTTTAAGATTAAATTTTTGTGAAAAAATTATAACAGATCCCTTCTTACAAACTTCTACTCTGAACTCTAGAAACAGAATGTGCCAAAGTTCAAGGTCAAAGGAAAGTTAGACTCAGCTGTGATGTGCATCACTAAGCCATTAAGAGGAGAGGTAAGTTCAAGGTCATTTACTAAGCCACTAAGAAGAGAGGTAAGTCCAAGTTCATCAATTACCCACTGAAAGGAGGGGTAAGTTCAAGGTTATCTCTAAGAGGAGAGGTAAGTCCAAGTTCATCAATTACCCACTGAAAGGAGGGGTAAGTTCAAGGTCATCACTAAGCCATTCAGAGGAGAGGTAAGTCCAAGGTCATCACTAAACCACTCAGAGGAGAGGTAAGTTCAAGGTCATCACTAAGCCACTAAAAGGAAAGGTAAGTCCAAGGTTATAACTTAGCAACTTAGTTAAGATAATATAAGTCCTAGGTCACCACTGAGCCACCCAGAAGAGAAGTACCAGTAAGTCTAAGGTGAACACAAAGCCACTTAGAGGAGAGTTAAATCTAAGGACATCAGTCAGACACCCAGAAAAGAGGTAAGTCTAAAATCATCACTAGAGGAAAGTAAGTTCAAGGTCAGCCACTCAGCCACTCATAGGTAATGTATGTCCAAGGCTGGACACTAATTCTTAAGCATTTAATATTCAAGTGTTGACCTTCTTATCATGTAAACTCTCAGCTACACATAACAGTTCATCATCAAATTTTGAATACAACTATTTCAGTAATAATAAAATTAAGGAACAAATTTAATTAATGTCTAATTTTCTTAAATTAAGGGGAAAATGTCCCCTGTGCAGACTACATAGCTTCTATGATTTTGAATGCTGTTGTCCTGAATTTTGTTGTCCTGTTGGCTACAAAGTAACAAGGAATATTTAACAAAAAGGTTGTTTATGTTTCTGCTAAGAATTACTAGTGTTGGTTGATAACAGCATTGACAAAATCCTGAATAATGAAAAAATTCATGCACGTTGTGTCTGTAGTTGTTCAGGTAGTGTAAATCAACATATTCTAATGTCAACCTGATTAGTCAGTGGTTATGTTCCATATTTTAACTTTTTAGAAATAAGAAAATTATATGAATATCGGTTTTGAAATATAGATTGATTTTTTATTTGCAGCTAACAGTAGAACATTGTGACACACAAATCAAATCAATAGAAATTCAGCTGGTACGAGTAGAAACTTGTGGATGTGCTGAGGGTTATGCCAAAGATGGTATATTTTCTTACAAAAACTCAAATATTTGATGTCTATCATATACATGTATATAAATGATCATTATAAGAACAGTCCTCAATGCTTTATACCTGAATCATCTGGGTCCTGTTGTATTAAAGAAGGAGATTCTTCAAAGACTTTTTATTTAAAAATTCCCATGTTAAAATTGGACTCCATATTGTAGTCCCTTCCTCTGTCACGCAGTATATGCTTCATTAAAAAATACAGAACTGAGAAATCTTTATACACAGCCACAGAGATCCAGAATATCCAGATAGCTGATGGAGATGTCTGCCGTGGTATCTCAATCCCTATATGGATGATTTTCCCTCGACTTTTCACCTGCCCAACACTTTCAACCAATAATTTCAAAGTTGGTTAGTATATAATACAGCAGTATGTATTTGCAGGTGAAATGAATTGAATGTGATATTATTTTAATCTTAGTTAATTGTTGTACCTAAACCTGATTTTATGTTTCTTTTCAGACTTTGAAATCAACATAGTTATTGTGTTTCAAGACAATCATTTGGTGACTGAAAACTTCCCTATCAAGCTGACCAGGTTTTAGTGAAGTTAATGGATTCCTTTATTGTTCAAAATGGCCAAAACAACTCATTTACAGAACTTTTTAATTTTGCCAATTAAAACTGCACTAAAGCATAAACAAGCTTTCTTGAACAAATTTTAAGTTTTGACCTCTCCAAAACTCAGGTTCTTCCAGATCATGACCCAGGGGGGTCACAGTATGGGATTAAACATTTATAATGGAACATAGAGGGGGAAAATCTTTCAAATTTTTTTTCCTTGTGAGCAGATAGACCAGTGGAATTAAGGTGAGCAATGTGGCCCCTGGCTTCTGTGTTCATTCCACCTTAAATGAGAAAATGCGGTAGGGTCATTTATACATGAGTGTAAAGATTATATTTGTATTTTGTAACAAGTGCAATATTTATTTTATATATTAAAGTAATGATTACTTTGTGAGTCGAGTTGTGTTCATATAACATGGTGAGTCAAGTGTATTATACAGGAAGGGTGACATTGCGTGCTGGAGGATTTAATTGTTATGAAGTGATAATGAGTTGTCTTACTGATAAATGAGTAGCAGTAATGAGCATCCAAAGTTTTGGTAAAAAGTATGGGAAATGAATTGAAATGTTTTGCAATGTAGCAATAATGTTGAAATCCTTAAATTACATGAGTTGAACTATTACAATTTTGTGGAGAAAAAGAATTGCTTATTGTGTACAGTTGCCTGTGAAGGCTGGACTCTTTGTCAGGGTTAGTTGGACAAGGTCAAGTATGAAATTTATTTTTATGTCCAGGCTATCAACAAATTACTGCATGTAGAAGAGCTCTTGCATAACATGAAGGTTTGTTTTGGGGATAAATACCGTATAAGCAGAATTTTTAGCAAGGATTTAATTTTGGCATTATTAGTAAGGATATTGTAATTGCTAAAATTGTACATCGCTAAAAATTGATTCTGTATTATTTATAATTTGCTTCTTTAGTGGGCATTTCCAAATCGCTAAATCATATCTCACTAAAATAAGACTGCAATATTTCAGGACAAATTGTTGAATATGCGTCTTGCTAAAATTTCCGCTTATACTGTAAAAATGGAAATTTAGCAAGACGTAAATTTAACATGTGTAATCATGCACTTGACTGGGCAAATGTATGTGGCACACAATACATCTACAAGCCATGTAAAAGAATATTAAGACATACTGAAATTTTAAAAATTTTATTCAAGAGAGAATGGAGATGTATCAGTGTTCACAACAAAACTTTATACTAACTTGCAACATAAATGGTATGATGTACAGTGTAGTATGAGTAAGAGTTCAGTTGAACATTGTCTTCAAATCTTTTCAATTCAAATGCAGTCATGTTATTTAATGCAACATATGCATGGAATAACACAGAATGATAAATCTACTGGTGAGTCTTGCAATATTTTCTTTGTTAAATTATCTTACTTCTAATTTATGAATATTTTTGAGATAAAATTTTATCAACAGCTTCAGGAAAGTCTTTAACAGTCAGGTATGGTTTGGGATTTATTTTTTCTTCATCTTCAGGCCTGTATTTACCTGGGGGAAAATGATATAAAATGTTAACACAATAAAAATTGTGTAAATCCATCTCCATAATCTATTTAACTTGAATAGTACTGATATATTATACCTGTCTGTACAAGGATACCCAGCATTCCACAGTTCTGTGCACCATTTATATCATCTCTAACATCCTACAAACATGGCACACATATCTCAAAATGAGCTCTATGTAATGACTTAAAAGTTCACTATTTTATATGTCAAAATATTGATGCAAGATTTTCTAAATAAATAAGAAACTGTACATCTCCAATCATAACACATTCCTCTGGAAGACAATTAAATTCTTCTACTGCAGACAAGAAAAAAGTTCTCTCAGGTTTTCCAACAACTTCTGCTTTACAATCGGCTGCATATTCTAATCCAGTTACAAATGGCCCTATTGAAAATAGAGAAAAAACTCTGAAAAACCTGGCCCTTGTCTCAAAAGTTCAAAATCATAATTATGTTTTGTTTATATTATTTGTTGCTGCTGCTCTTATGAGAAGCTTTTCCTTCACATTCCTGTGCATGTATTTCTTGCCAAATAAAAAAAAGGTTTGATTTCCAAGGTTCTCCTCACTTTATTTTAAAAGTGAATGAGAATTAAGATTGAATTCTCCCTCTTACATGACTTATACCTGGTCCCAGGGATAATCCAGCAGCTGTCTTATAATATCTGGCTTTGTGAATGGCTATAAGTGCAGCTCCATCTATCAATAACCTTAAAAAAAGTTCATGTGTCAAAGAACTCATCCAGTGCTCCTTACATGCCCTCTCAGAACATAAGTTATATCAGCTATATAGTACAAAATGTAGCTTATAAACTTGGATGAAATACTATTGTACTGTTTATGACAAAATAGTTACTTCACAAAGATGATACTGTCTGAATATGTATATCAATTTGTGATGCTGTACGTAACTTTATAAAGGTATTTTACAAACTTTATTGCTTTGTATTTCTCCATTTATTACACTACCATAAAAACTTGCATATCAATTTTGAAAATTAATATCAATGCTATAGGGAATAAGTAGTATGATCTCATACAAACCGAAAAGCTTGATTGAGTTTGCCATACTCAAATTTTTCAGGAGCTAGTCCTACCACAACTGCATTTGGAGACTTGGTGTCAATTCCTACAAAGCAAATGACATATATATTAAAAGTCATTCTCTGTAAAAAATATTAATTTATGTGTAATAACTATATAGTAAATAAATGTGAAATAAACTCATACAAATTAACTTTTATTTGCAAATTAAAGTGCATTCACATGACAATCACATGACGAATCAATAAAGAAAACCATTAAGTAAGCATTCAATTTTTTTTTTACATGAATTAGTCCTTGCAGTGATGAGTGTGGCATATTTTTGATCAATGCTCATTAGACTGCTTCAAACAGTGCAAGGATATATCAATCAAACAATATCAATTGTAGTTTCAATAATTTCCAGATAAAACAAGTTTTTTGTTATATTTTCATGTGAATTACATGTATTAGCTAAAGCAACATATAAGTCATGATATAACAATAATACAGATACTTTGAAAAAATATTATTTTCAAATCTGTCTAAGCCCCTCAAGTATATTATTCAACAAATGCAGTTATACTTTACTTACCTTCAAAATCCTCTAAAGCTCTGTCATCTACAAGCAGGAATGGCCGTAATGATTTTCTCTTTATTAATTTAACTGCAGCAGTTAAGGAGGTGAAGATTTCTGAGGATTCAATACTGAAGCCAATTCTTCTCAACCTCTGTAATAGTAGTTTCTGTGATTCTTTTGTGGTGTTTGTTACAAATTTGATGTTTAAATTCGACTTCCTCAACCTGTTCAAATTAAAAACATATTGTAATAAAAAGATTATGAAGCTCGATCACCTCCACAAATGTTATCTATACATGTAATTAAGGCAAATCTCACACCATTTTTTTTTGTACATGTACTTAGCGTACATTCTGACATATTAAGTTTGGTTAAGGTAGGACTTAAAGTCACTTGGGAACAGACCTGCTTTAAAAAAAAACTTAAACCTGTGTAGTAGTGTAAGATAGATGTCATCCTACTAGCTTGGGCTAGTGGGTTAACCCTTTAGCTCAATTGATAGAGCAGTGGAGTGGCAAGCCAGAGGCCCCAGGTTCAATCCCCAGCAGCGGCACAAAATTGTCTCTGTTACATTTGGCACCCACGTTGGGACCCGGGTGTTCTCTGGCGGGTGAGAGTAATTGCCACTAGAACTTCGCCCGACAGGTGTCGGCACTCCAAAAGAGATGAGGACATCTCATTCTCTGGAGGGGGACAATGTAGTAGTATAAGATAAATGGCATCCTACTAGCTTGGGCTAGTGGGTTAACCCTTTAGCTCAATTGGTAGAGCACTGGACTGGCAAGCCAGAGGCCCCGGGTTCAATCCCCAGCAGAGGAACAAATTGTCTCTTTTACACCTGCTCACTCATCCAGAAAATGTAGGTCACTTCCAGCATCCCAAGCCAGTCTGGTAGTGCCCTTCCCTAGATGCATTCATGCAAGTTACATCAAAACAGAGTTATAGTCAATAAACTTTACCATTGTCACTTATCTGGAAAATTTAGGTCATATCCAGCATCTGAAGCAAGTTTTTGAAAAATTTAGGTCATAATCCGAAATCGGAATTTTACAACTTTATTTTATTTGGACCTAGCTTGTGAGATGCAAGAACTCAGGTAAAGGAATGACGACTCTCCTGCACATATATAAAAAAGCAGGGGGTAGAGCCAGCTGAATCTTAGATTACCTTAGATGCATCATTCAACAATTAGATAGTAACATGTGAGGACTACCCTAATCTCTTGAGTGGATCCAACCATCCTAGTGCAACAAGCATCTTTTGAATCTCACATCTGGGGACTGGTTTGATAGAGTTTACCCATTATAAAAAGAATTTTGTGAATAAAACTTGATTACCATTATGATTCATCAGATCTTGCCTTTTCAATGCATCCAAAGATCCCGCAATCTCTTCATTTTCAATATGAATTGTTCCACTCAAATCTACAAGAACTGTCTTAATTTTCCTCTCCATTTGATGTCCTGATTCCGTAGAATATGGTTTGAAATTTCTTAGTAACTCTAGCACGTTACATGACAAGCTTGCTTTGTTTCCTTTTAAGCACTTGTAGTTGTTGTAACTAATTTTATTGAAAGTGAAACAACACTTTGTATACATCGGAAATAAATGACAGCAATGTAAAAGTGAGAAAGAAAACGGCTCAAGATCTACAGAAAGAGGTATGAAAATTAATTGTAAATACTATTTTAAAAAAATTATTTAAAAAAATTAAGGAGTACTTATGTTTGAATCAAATATACTTCTAAAATCTTAGTTCTTGCTTGGTTAAAAAAATATTAGAAATTCATCATGTCAATCGGGTTCGGGAAACGAAATATTTTGAAATGACATGTGCATGATGATCATGATCTCATAAGTTCATAATATTTACAGTTTTATCAAAGAAGAATAGGAGTGAGAATACGAAAATATGTATTTACAAATGTAGTTTTTATTAGGATTTTACAAATTCTAGTTATGCTGTCCCGACGTTTGATGTCAAGACCACTACTGTTTTCTTTTCACTCATCAAGGTAGGGTTTCAGTGGGTTTTGCTTGGAAAGTGAAAGTGTCGGGCAGACAGGCTGACAGGGGTTTGATTTTGCAATATAATGAGCTCAAGCTCTATAGCCTTAATTAACAGATCAAGCAAGTTAAGCTATGCACAATAACTTTATTTAGATATTATATCAAACTTCCTTACTAAGTATAATTAATTAAAGTTGGTCTTAGAGATTTGTATTGAAAAATTACTTTCCTTCTCCAGGATAAATTAGGTAAAATCTATCTTGTAATTTCGTATTTCAGACTGCTCATGCTGATTTAATGGTTGCAAACTGATTTTTACTGGGGACACTTAAACAGAGCTGGTAAAACGGTTGTTTGCGACCATGAAATCAGCATTAACGGTGGCAAATACCAAATTACAAGATAGTTATTCCCATTCTAATGCAATTTATATATTTTGTTTCATTGATATAGCTTTAATTTGATTTAACTTTTAAATTTAAGTTCAAATTATTGATCAAATATATTAGATTGTATGGTTCTGTAATACTGTTTTGATTTGATAATCAATAGTAACTAAAATTGGTCTGATCTGCAGTACTAAAATTGATTGGTATTAATTCACATAACATTATGATCCATGCCTCATAATTCACAAGGTGGTGTACAGTTACAGCTTTATATTCCATTTCTATTTGTTTTCTCTATGATAACTCTTTGAAAGTTATAGTAGACTTGATTTCTTGAGTTGATAATTATACCAGGCCAACAATAAAAAATGATTTGTATGACGTACTTCTTCACAAGGTGGTGTACAGTTACAGCTTTATATTCCATTTCTATTTGTTTTCTCTATGATAACTCTTTGAAAGTTATAGTAGACTTGATTTCTTGAGTTGATAATTATACCAGGCCAACAATAAAAAATGATTTGTATGACGTACTTCGATCGACCCATCAAAATCAGCCTTACCCAATCATATTTTTCAGCACTTTAAATTTTGATTTTTTTTTTTTCAGTTTCCATAATGTATTTTCTCTAGGATGCTTCTTGATCAAAAAGTGAAAATATTCAACACATTTTTTTTCTTTTGTATGCAGCACCTATCTAGCACCATATCAGCAAAGTGATCACAATGAATTGTGTCAATTTGGCATCAGAAGATCAAGTTCCTTAGTGGATAGAATAAAGAATACTGCAGCCAGAGGAAAGGATGCTTATCTCAGATTTCTAGGAAAACACTTCCCTACACTATATCAGTATCAAATACAAGTACTGAATGGTAATAATCCTTACCTTAGATTTCTAGGAAAACACTTCCCTACACTATATCAGTATCAAATACAAGTACTGAATGGTAATAATGCTTACCTTAGATTTCTAGGAAAACACTTCCCTACACTATATCAGTATCAAAAACAAGTACTGAATGGTAATAATGCTTACCTTAGATTTCTAGGAAAACACTTCCCTACACTATATCAGTATCAAATGCAAGTACTGAATGGTAATAATGCTTACCTTAGATTTCTAGGAAAACACTTCCCTACACTATATCAGTATCAAATGCAAGTACTGAATGGTAATAATGCTTACCTCAGATTTCTAGGAAAACACTTCCCTACACTATATCAGTATCAAATGCAAGTACTGAATGGTAATAATGCTTACCTCAGATTTCTAGGAAAACACTTCCCTACACTATATCAGTATCAAATGCAAATACTGAATGGTAATAATCTGCATGGATTTAATTCAAGTTTTAAATTACATCACAATAATTCTAAAAAAGGACAGACAGACAGCTGAAAACACACAAGTTTTTATATTACATATAGTTTTAAATGATACATGTAGAAAGCAAATATACATGAGTTTCTGAATCCACAAAAATTAGTACTAGTAGGGCTGGGCAAAAATTATCAATATTTCGGTATATAGCAATACAATGACAAAAAATATCGTATTGCAATGCGGTTTTGTAATATCGATATATCGGAAAAATGTTTAGACGAAGGAATTTTATCATTAAATATAAAAATAAATGTAAGAAAGGCTTGTCATTAAGCCAACAGTAAGACAAAAGCTGTTTTATGGATGTATTTCAGAGCATAACTTTAATAAAATCAGTAAGATTTTTTTTCTTTTTGGTTACTAATCATAGTAATGTACATTC